TAAATTATATCACGTGCTATATTTGATAAAGTGATCTATATTAATTAAGTACCAATAAGAATATCAAAGAATATTAAAGAAATAATTATAAATAAATAAATAAAAATAGAAATAGAATGAAAATCATGACTAAAAATAACTATCCTATAGTATTAGAAGCTATTTTTATCACAATACTTGATAAATTTTTAATAAATAATTTTAATAATTAGTTGATAAATTATTAATAAATTTTTAATAAATTAATATGAATTTTTATAAAATTGCTAATAAATAATTTTGTGATAAACTTTTATTTAATTGTTAATAAATTTTTTGCTAAATAGTTAATTAATTATTTAACAAATTGTTAATAAATTATAAATATATAGATTTTTGTAATATTTATAGTCAAATTATATAATTGTCAATTTATTTATGTTATTTTTTTGCTAAATTGTCATTTTTTTGTCGAATGTTATATAAGTGGCAGTATTTTTTTTTGACTAGTATAATATTATTTTGTAGCAAATAAAAACTGAATATGTGATAATATCAACAAAGTTGAATGCTAAAACTACTTTATAAAAAATAAAATTGAAAAAATCTTTTTTAAAAATATAAAAATACAGGATTTTATTAGATAATCCATAGATATTAATATTTCTTGACACCAGCTTCCAATAGACAATATAGTTGGCTCGAAATTTTTTTTAAAAATTACTGGAGCTTCCGATCTAACAATCCGAACTACTAGTTATCACGTGTTACAAACCGCGTGACTGATATATAGATAAAGCGTAACGCGTTGGAATAACACGTATCATTTTTTAAGATTCATGTTTGAAAATACTCGAGTTAGTAGCGTTGGAAATGTTACGGTTAACGGTGGTGAAAACGTCACAACACTGGAAAAAGACATTATTACGGAATATGAAAAGCTAACGGCCAATGTCGACAGAGTAAGGCCGTCGAGAATTTGCGTTTTACCCGACAAATCCCAATACAATTTAACGATTAACTGTTCCCTCTTTATTATACCCTGATGTTTCGTCACATCGGATTGCTAATAAAAAAGATGAATCAAATAATTATCCACCTGAATACCACCGAGGTACTAAACCTAATCAACAAGTTACGTACTCTCGAAAAAAAGGTTGGTTTGGTGTATACCTTGTTCAAAGCTTCGGTTTATTCCCTGGTCACAGCTGATCAGGATGTTGGTGACGGAAATAATGCCTTTGGTGGGGTCGTGAATAGAATTGGCGATGATAATGCGGACGAAATTGGTAATAACACCGAGAGACGAAATACGAATCGGCCGATTTTTTAGATTTCCAATAGTAGAAACCTCGAGAAATTACAATAAAGATCGAATTCTTTGTCTGGTTGGTTTATTAAATTTTTAAGTAAAAATATTATGAATTAATATTGAAATAAAGCAAGTTTATCAAACTGGTCATAAAGTTAAAAGGTTTTATTCTATTTTTTTTATATTGTTTATACTGCATTTCAATTATATTTTAAATTTGTTTTTTTTTTTTATTTTTATTTTTATTTTTTTTAATCACTTATATCTTGTGCATCTAATATAGAATAAATTAAGCAAATTAAATTTCAAATTAAAATTAGTATACTATAACTAGTGACCATATTTATGCAAGTGAAATAGTGAAATCCCAAAGCCATAATTACTAAATAAAATAAATTTTAAATTACCAATCATACACAACCCACGTAGTATTAGACTGGACTCAACAAAATTATAAAATAAGATATCCCGTCATATATTATACAAACCTTTTAGATTGTTGCTACTTTCGCCGTATTTGATAATAATAAAAATTAATTATAGGACGCGAGCGTCTCTTTGTGTGGGTTCTATTGTTATCAAATACTTTTAGTTCACGGCCCGTAGCAAACAAAAGAAATGGAATAAAATAGTATGATGTATATATAAAATAAAACACAGACAATTTTTTGACAAACCCTTTCATTGGTTAGTACAGTAGTAAATTTAACAGGGCCAGAACGCCGTAGAGAGGGGAGATCGAAAACTTTAATCCAATCTATCGTCGTTCTAAGTTAATTTTTTTTTTTTTTTACTTACAACATGCCACTATCCCGGTTTCTACCATAATCTTTCGGCCGTCTTTGGCTAGACGTCCTTTTCATACTTGGTATAAATAAGTTATATTACAAAGTATGAACTTGATAACATTGTGAAATACATTAATCATTTGTTTTTTACTTGGCTGTCGTGGGCTGAGCATTTGATACTGATACTTGAACGTTAGGAGATGACTTCCTCAATTCATTAAAGAAATCATTGCCGTTTGCCATTAAATGCGCTAAGAAAAAGAATAAAAATCATGCAGGGTTAATTCCCAAGTCAGGTTTCTTAAGGTATCGACTTTATATGATAAAATAAATAAATAAATTACGTTTCTGGCCCCAAGCAGGAACCCCCTTTCCCCACGCCTTTTCTGATTTATACATCTCTGGTTTTTCTGGGAAATAATGAACCATGAGTCAAGTCAGTAACTACACGCATTATGGTAAAATCATGAAATTATATCGACAAACTTACCAGATTCAGGATTATTTTGATTATAAAATCGATCAATTTCTTCCTTCCACCCTATAATGGAAAGATAACTAAACTTATGCTATATGACGACCGAAATTGCAACAAGGCAAATAAATAACTACCACTATTCAAAAATGCCTCAACTTCCTGAGAGTTGAAATTATTAACGGGCACATGTTCTGGAGTCGGCCTCAAACTTGGTAGAGCAAGGTTAGGTGAACCTGAAGAAAACGACGCGTTAGACGTTGTAGAGCCAACGGAAGTTGGTGTAGTCGGTGAAGTTGCTGTAGCCGAAACTGGTGGAGCATTAGTGTGAAGGTCTTTATTTTTACTCGCTACAATAAAAAAAAAAATTAAAGATTCTTTTTGAATGGAGAGGAGACTACTAAGATTAGGAAAGATCAACAGCTAGTTAAAAGGTCTTACCGAACGAGTTCTTTCGTTTAGTATTAAAATCTCGTCTGTCATTTTTCTTAAAGCTAATTAACACAAAAGTGAAAAAGAATTAGAGAGAAATGTTTCTCGAGGAAAACCTTTGAAAAATTGAACATACTGTCTTTCTTCTTCGCGAGCACCAGCCATATTTATATATATAGAGAATATATGGTAAACGGGAGGAAATCGGATGCGAAGATGAGTAAAAGAGTTGCGAATAACCTACATAGTCTCACAAGTTTAATATAACATGTGCTGCATTCAACCAATTATTATTAAAATTTTTTTAATTTAATTTTTGGAATACATAAAACAATTAATACGACTTTACTTAATTCTAAAAAAAATAATTTTTTTTATATTTTACATATGTTAAATTAATTTCGTATAATTAATAAAAAAAATATCAAGAAATTAAAAAATATAAGCGAAAAATCATAAATTTTCTTTATTAATGAAAACTATTAATTTTTAATGTAAACATGATTTATAAAAAAATATTTCACTATTATAATTCACATTATTGATTAATATTTTTGTTTCATATAAAAAAGTTTAGAAAATAATCATAATGATAAAAACAAATTAAAAGAAAAAAAAATTTTTTTCTTGATTAAACATTATGCCAATTTATTACATCTAAACGATCGATGACTTTTGTTACTAGCACATGTAATGTTAAAAAATCGACATGACTCATGAAAACCCTTTAATCGGAACCATGCGACTCTTTCAAATTTATTGATCATGATTTGGCCAACAACTTTTTTTCCAATTCTAAAAAAGCTTTCATTCCGGGATCCATCTCATCGCCATCCGGTTTGTTGCCTTGTTCGAGGATTGGGGGCAATGGTTTGTTCATTCTCAACAAGCGTTCCCTTATTGCATTCACCTTCTTGTTCCATTCCTGAATATCTTCTTGGTAGACATCAAAGACGCTATTGGTTCGAGGTTGTGTGGGGTTGAATCAGCGTGAATGGTAAAGAAATGACATATGGTTTTGATTTAATGGCATACCAATGGGAACAACCGCTAATAATAGGTCCGAATGATTCGAATGATCGAATGTCGAGTGAACCAAAAGTGACTTTCGAAATGCGTGGGAGTTCAAAATTTTATCAAGGAAAGGCCTCACCTATTTCGTTTACATTCATCAATAAGTTATCGAAAGGTAAAAAGTGACGCACACACACGACAAAAAGGAAAAAAGACCTCATGCAACAATTATCTGGAAAAGCTGGTTTGGGGGGTATTAATTCTCCGTCGACCGTGTAAATGGGTTTGTCTTCCTTGAAATCAGGTTTCAATGAGGCACCATTAATTGACGATGATGCGGCATTACGTTCGTCACCCGATGATGGTTTTTTGACGGGTGAAGGTGATGGCTGTGCGAAATTTAACGTCATTAAAACTTGTCATCATCAATGTTCTCAGCGTATTCACACCTGGTGCAGTATTAAAGTCCAAAAGCCATCGTATCTGTGTGGGCCATCATTAGTTTTAATGGTACGTTTGAATTGATGTTGATAAGAAAGTGAGATCAACGATGGAGAAAATCTGGTGTACTGAATTGAGAAGAACTTTCGCATCGTCGTTATTGGTGACATTTTTGTACAAAAAATGTATCCGTTAAATCAAACTTATCAGACGACAGATGATTGGATGATAAGAAAAAGGTTTAATTAAGTTTTGTGGATTTTAAGATATTGGCTCAAAAGAGGTGATGACATCCCGACAACCAGCTAAACTCGTCGTCCTAGAGAATTTGTCGAGTAATAATGGTCGAAATGCACAAAAGATTCATCTGCACGTAGAAAATATGAGAGAATTTAAAATTTGCGCCGGAAATCATATCATCGTTAGAAAACACGTCGATGAAAATGAGGAGGTCAAGGAAACCATCGCCGAGGTATGTTCCGTGTCGAACTGTAATAAATTGATCGTGACGCAAAAAGCTTGACCTTTTCAACAATAAATTGTGCAAGATGATCGCAACTGGCATCGCTTGGCCATCGTTCACAATGCAAAGAAACCGTATGTTTATTTTTTTGTGTACAGCTTTGAAGAACGATTCTTTCTTTAAGAGAGTAAATTATGACTCAGATTAAACTGCATAAAAAAGATGTACAATTGAATGGTATCCTACGAAAAAATGCCAACCTCCAAGTTGGCGATGTCGCTGTTGTCTCGCGAGTTAATGCCGCCATTGTTGGCGCATCAAAAATCGCGTTGGAACCACTCGAAATAAAATTTCCGATCGATCAGATGTTGAACATATACATGAAAGAAGTTCTAAGTATGGGTGTGC